TTAGACCCTTCCAGTAGTTACTTTGTTGCATTGATTGAATACAAGATAGAAAACGTGACAACATCTGCTTGTTTCAAATGAAAGTACTTAAAATAGAAAAGCTCAAATATTTATTTCCTTGATGTTTACCAGTGCAGTAAAGCATCAGACCAAAGACAAGACCAAACTACAATAGTCCTCTCGGCAAAAATGAAGGTATCTTTGAAACATGCATTACATCTTATCTCAGGAATGCAGATCTGTCACTTCCCAGTGCCTGAATCTGCATCTTGCCGTCTTCTATTCAAAGATAAGTCTCACTTCTTTTGTATTCTACCAGATTTGTCATGTAAACAAGGATCTCTTTTGTGACTTCAGACTGCATTTCATGTTTGTGGATGCTGCACAAGTTGCGAACAGAAGAAATTGAATAGGTGAATGCCATTTAAAGTGGCTTTACTCAAATTAGTCACTGTCACAGATGGTTCATAACTTTAAAGTATAAAATGGCAGAGACATCTTTTGTGCATTTTAACTTAGTGTTGATGGCAAATCTGGCAGTTCTCTTGTAGTTTCAACTTTGCATCCAGAATTGGTGACTTCTATTGTTCAGAACATCGGTCAGAGGCTTAAAGACAAAACTTTATCTGTAGTGATGTTGTTCCTTAATGATCTTAGCAGGGAAAAAAGAAATCAATCATAACTGCTAATGCTACTTCTGTGTATTTTAAGTGGCTGTTGCTTAAAAGAAACTACAAGCATATGTCAAAAGAGCAACTTTTACTTTAGAGAAGGTTTTTAAATGATAGATGTGATAAATATGTTGGTGTTTTGTTTAAACATGTTTTTAAACAGATCATTTGTCAGCCTTCGATTAAGCATTGTAGTCCTCTGCACAGTAGTGTCCTTCTCCAGAACTTATAAGAAAAAAATGATTCTCCTGTCTAGTTTGATATCTTCACTCAAACAGCTCAGAGAACATCTAGTGACAAATATACCGAAAGGAGAAGAATAGCAATTCCCCTGAGTATTATTGGAGTTCTTGACTCAGGGTTATTTACAGTATTCACCTCTACCATAGTTATAATGCTGTTGTATCTTTTGTTTCAAAGTCTTCTTGCGCCTTGATCTATTTTAGATTTCTTGCAGTTGACATGCAAAAAGTTATGTGATGTTTTTGTTGCCAGGAGTTAGAATAAAAGTCTCTTATACCAAGTGAAAGGATAAATAAATACCTGGAATTACGTATTGTTGGAGCTTGCAGTTGAAAAAACTTTTAACTTTGTCTTGTTACTGTGCAAGTGTGACCATTACACCATTGTAATATAATCTCTGGGACAGCTGTTTTTGAAAACTCTCCAAGTTAGTTTTTGAGTGCTTTATTAAATGTACATTCACTGTTTTAGCAACTGTTTTAAATTTGGTTGCAGAGAGCGAAAGAAAAGAATTGAAAAGCCCCGCAGATTCAGCAGGAGTCATAGCCGGAGTCCAAGTCCTCCACCTTTTCGAGGTCGAAATACAGCTATGGATGCACAGGAAGCATTAGCCAGAAGGTCAGGAATTGTTACTGTTTTAGTGGTATGTGATATGAATAATCCGATCCTCTTTGGTTTTGCATGTCTGAATACTTTCATTCTTGTGTTTTTTGTAGGTTGGAAAGAGCAAAGAAATTGCAAGAACAGAGAGAGAAAGAAATGGTTGAAAAACAGAAGCAACAAGAAATGGCTGCAGGTAATCTATGTATATTAATTTCTGAAGAATAACGTTTGTGGAAGATAATGCAGGCTCGTGTGTTGAGTGTTTGAAGTAATCACAGAATCAGTAGGGTTGGAAAAGGCCTCCAAGATCACTGAATCTGTCTGTGTGCCTACCACCAGTATTTCCCCACTAAACCGTATCCCTCAGTACCACATCTGAAAATTGCTTGAAAGTCTCCAGGAGCAGCAATGTACAGTGTTACAGTCCTGACCAGTTGATGTACAGGTTGTCAGGTTGTTCATTTGATCCATGTGGAAGAAATGCAAGTAGAACAAGGAAATGGAAGGGTGGAAAGGTATCACACACAAACAATCCAACTAAAATGTTGTCTGTTAGGCTGGCTCTAATGGTCATTGGACCTTCCCCATATGCATTATTAAGCAAGAGTTTGAAAGCTGTTACTCACACAAGGGTATTTAAAAGCATGAGTTATGATACTTCTGGCTTACTAAAATGTGTTGGAGACTTGTTTCTTAATTTATAAATAACATATTTTGTTTTCATTGCTTTCAACTTACTGCTATGAATGGGAGTGGGTTTTTTGGGGGAGAAAAAATGACTGAACTTAACTAGCAATTTACCATTGCTTTCTTTAGCAGCTGCAGCCACTGGAGGTTCTGTTATTAACGTTGCTGCTCTTCTGGCATCGGGAACACAAGTAACTCCTCAAATAGCAATGGCAGCTCAAATGGCAGCACTACAAGCAAAAGCTCTAGCAGAGACTGGAATAGCTGTACCTAGCTATTATAACCCAGCAGCAGTGAATCCAATGAAATTTGCTGAGCAAGAGAAAAAACGGAAGATGCTTTGGCAAGGCAAAAAAGAAGGGGTAATGTCTGTTTTACTTTCATAAAACTTGTTTGAAAACATCTTACATGTTTGGACTGCCTACATGAAAAAGCCTAGATGTGCAGTGACAAATGCTAGTTACTTAAGCCCTAGAATTATGTCTGACTGTATAAATTTTAGGAAGTATAATTGGATCCTTTTGTTGATTTTTGTTAACAAAACTTGCCACTAAATATCAGATGTGGATGGTCTCTCTTCATTGAGAAGTGCTGGTAACATTATAAAGTCATACGTATTTTCTTTTCCATAATTTTAGGCATGTTTTCTGATATAATAGTACAGTCTACTCAAGTAAAGATATACCTCATTTTGAAACCTGTGCTTAAGCACACTTTCATCACAGAAAGTTTCTATGGAGATGCTGCAAGAATGCCACTGGAAATATTTTGCCTCTGGCTTTGCTACAACTATACAACAGTCTGATTCTTAACACAGCTTTTCTTTGCTTACTACTGTATTGTGATATTAACAGAAATATGTGTAAAAAGGTGATAAATCTTTTTTTTTTTTTTTTGTAACTTGCACAGGATAAATCGCAGTCTGCAGAAATATGGGAAAAATTAAATTTTGGAAACAAGGACCAAAATGTCAAATTCAGAAAACTGATGGGCATTAAGGTAAAGAGTTCTGAATGTGTAGTTAAACTTTTTATAGTGGGTTTGGTTTTTAATTTTAAAGGGTGCCTAAATCAGTGAGGATAGGTTAACTGGTTACTGTATGATCTAATTAAAAACAAATTATTTCTCATTAAAGATCACATAAGTTACTAAATTAAATTCAGAGTCTAGAATTTCATGGTATTTCTTGCATCTGTTATGCTCTGTGACAACAGTCCTAACTGTAACCAATATTCGTCATGTAATGAATGTTCATATGTGATAGCTCTGTATAGATAATTAAATGGAGGTGTTAATTTGAATGAATTCAAAAGAGGAATTTTAAGGCTTCTGAGCATTTCTTGGCAGTGAGAGCAAAAGCTATACTGGCCTTATTACAGCAGCAAAAGCAGGTGCCTTTTGTTTTGAAAGGCTCTTAAGAATTCAGAATTATAAGGAGTTTAGGGTAGCTGTAGCATATGAAAATACCACTTCTTGTGAAGCTGTTGCTTTACTTTCTTCTGTTTTCCAGAGTGAGGATGAAGCTGGCTGTAGTTCAGTTGACGAAGAAAGCTACAAAACGCTGAAACAACAGGAAGAGGTTTTCAGAAATCTAGATGCACAGTATGAAATGGCAAGATCACAGACGCATACACAGAGAGGAATGGGATTGGGGTTTACATCTTCAATGCGAGGAATGGATGCGGTTTGAGTACAAACAACTTTAAAGTTTGGGACTTTGGAAGGTTCTTGTTCAAATGTTGGGTCCTTGTTCACCAAAAAGCTAGCATTCTAGCTTGCATGGGTGTTGCATTGACTTTAATTTATTGATAAATACAATTTTTTTTGTAAATATCAGATCAGTGATACTGGTGTTAGTGTTGTAATCAGGTTATACCCACTTCCATTAAACTTGACAGAACTATAGAAGGACAGTATTTTTTAGTTAAAGTTCTACTTTTCAAACCAAGCAGCAGATGGATGAACTCATACATGGATATTTGGTGTCCACTGTCTTGTGTACTTTTGTACTTTAACCTTGTACAGTTATTTTCGATTCTTGAAACATGAAAGAAACATTGTGTAGATGTTATTTAGCAGTCTGGGCCACTAGGCACATAATCCAGCGCAAAAACCTGGTTAATAATAAAGAAGTTTTTTCTCTAAGGTCTTACTTTATGTTAATGAAGTTGTCTTTAGGGCAGAACTCAGAGGAAACTCAGTAAGGAAGTCAGAAGCATTTGTTTTGCTTTGCCTATTTGGAAGGACAGTTTTGTTAAAATAAGGAATTTGCTGAAGAGTACTGAATTCATTCGTCCCTTTGTGAGTTGGGCTTTTTTTTTTTTTCCCCACTATTCAGAATTCCTGAAGTACTGGCAAGCGTTAGGTTTCTTTTTTATAGAATGTAATTTAAAAAAAATCCAACCCCTAAGGTGCTTTTATGTTATATAGACGTGTGCTGGAAGGATACCTTAATCTGGGGACGGTTTGGATGCAGTCTTAGTGCGGGCGATCTATTGAAAGCAGTGGCGCGCTGCTGCGCCCTGCTGGTGCTGCTGTTCTGCTCTCCAGAAAAACAAAAAAGGCGGGAAGGCAGCTGGCACCGCAGGTGGTTTCTGCAGCCTGCGCCTCCCGCGTCGGCGGAGCTCGTCCTCCGCTCCACTACAGCTCCCAGCAGGCACAGCCCGGCGCGGCTGTGGCGCCCTTGCCGCAGTGCATGCTGGGGTCCCGCGGTTCTCAATAGGGCGCGAGGCGCCCTTCGCCCCTCGGCGGCCTTCCGGCGCTCCCCGCGCCCCGCCCTTCCTGCTGCGGCTTAAGATGGCGGCCGAGGTGGATTTCGGGGATCGCGAGCTCTTCGAGCAGCTCGAGGGGGAGGACGGGCCGCCGCCGCCTCGCCTCAATGCGGACGAGGAAGAGGAGGACCGCGAGGAAGCTTTCTCAGATCTGCAGAAGCGGCTGCGGGGCTGCGAGGAGACGGTGCGGCGGCTGCGGGAGGAGAATATCCTGACGGGATTGGCGGGGCCTGCGGCGGGCGGGGACGGGGGGCTGCCAGCCGCCGCCGGATCCCTTCCGGGCCAGGCTCCGCGCCCTGCGTTGCTCCCGCGCAGCCCTTGATGCCGGGCGCGGGGCCGTGAGGGGCCGCTGCCCGCAGTTCTCCTCGCGTTCAGCCCCGGGCGCTGCTCCCGCCACTCGGGGACAGTTTTCTCTCACTGCAGCCTCAGTGTGCCCTTCTCTTGGCTACGGGGCAGTTGAGTTCTTGGGTGCTGGAACAGGTTAAAACGCTTAGCGTTGCACTTCTTTCTGCTTTCGTGAAGAAAAGGAATCTGTTTTTAACAGAAAAAAATTTAAACTGCCAAATGGTTCCTTGAGGAGCTGTTGAGATGAACACCAGCAGCTTGACGTCTGAGATGTCCTCTTTACAGTTAGTTATGTATATACAACCATCGTGATGTATTTTGATCTTTTAACTACAAAAAGACATAATTCAGGCAATGTTCTGTGCACTTTTTGTTAGGTGTTTTCTTATTTAGCCCTGCAATTGATTAAGGTGCTGTTGTGCCTTCTGAAGAAAGCAGTGTTCCTTAACTAGAAGGTAACATCAAGAACTTAAAAGGAAGCTGAATATTCTGACTCGCCCCAGGTATGTTACTGCTGGTTTACAGTGCTTCTGTCCAACACCGTTCTCATAAAGTTTGTTAGACTTCATTGTCAAGAACTGTGTTGGTGTTACTCTATGTATGTATGTGTATACTTATATATTCATATTCGTTTGTTTGTGATTCCTTTAAGGAAAGACCACTTTTTGTAAAGTTTGGCAGCAAGTGCAAGTACGTGACAATAGTTACATAAGTAAGAGAACTATTTTGTTGTTCTACAGGTAGTGTCTAGTCATTTGATGGCACTATGAGATCTTAAAAGATCTTAATGCTGTTTACTGCATTTTATTATATGCTCTTAGAAGAAAACTTCCATATTCCGTTTTGTGTTCTTCGTACAATGAACCACAAAATACTTTGCTCAGAAGAGAAGGATTTTTGTTTAAGGTAATAGGAACTTCCTAAAATAATGGAACTTGTATTGGCCAAACATTCCTCTCTGGAATGCAGGCTCTTTGCTGTGACAACTGAATAGGGAGTATTTACAATAAAACTGATGTAATAAGCATTTATATATTCTGTTCTTGCAGTGGAATTTCAGTGGACAACTCAAAAATTGACGGGCCTCTGTTGCAGATTTTATTTATGAACAATGTAATTTCTAAGTAAGTACTTCAGCTTTTCAATAAAAAAATCCCGATAGGAGGCCAGACATTGGTTTTTGTTTGGATATGTTTGCCCAAAGAATATATGTCATATTTAGTAACATACACTTGTTAGTATGCAGAGGAGAAAGGGTGGGAATTAGCAAAAGACAAGAGCTCTCTTGTGTTCAGTAGCAATGTCTGTATTTATTGTAAAATGAAGTGTGAATCCTTGGAACTCCTGAATAAAAGTTTCTGAAGTGTTGTTGGTAAACATAGTGCGTTAATTGCTCCCTCCTTCTCAGGTCAGAGTTGTCTGCCCTTTGTGTTAATCCTGAAGTAGTAAATGGCAGATGCTTCAAAAGATATTTGTGTGTATTTCAGTCTCGCTCTTTTCTTCACCTTTTTATGCTTTACTCTGTTGCAGGCAGTATCATCAAGAAATCGAAGATTTTGTTTTTAATTTAGTTCACAAATACGAAGAGCAACAGAGAGATGAACAAGAAAAAACGCACTTCAGTCTTAAGCCTCAGGTACTTTAAGGATTGTAGTGGTAATACTGAAATTTTACATTGTTAAGTAGCTAAATTCTAGATTTTTTTTCTACAACTGCAAATTAGGTAGCTATCAAATAAGTGTTATAAAACTGCTTATTCTGGGGGGGAAAAAAAGAGGATCATAACAGTGAAAAGAGAGAAATGATGTAAGTGATATTTTGGACTGTGGAAATCATTATTATTATCATAAATGTCTCTATTTAACTAATGTGTCAAGAAAAAGTAGAAGTTGCACTCCATATTTTGTGCCTTTTATGTACTTTGGTAATTTTGGAGCTCTTCTTTATACTGTCTGCTGTATTTAATCATGGACTTGTGTTTTTTACTTTTCATCTCAGCCCTCCAGTGTTCTTTTAGAAGAGGACTGTAAAACAGCAAGCTCGAATTCTGTTAAAAAAACTAAGGAAGCTTTTAGTGTAAGTTTTTGACTATATGCTCTTGAATGGTAGGTCTGACTCTTCATTCTACATATTTAATACACACTAGCATTAAAATAAAATCTCATTAAATTTCTTGTATCGATGTAATAGCAGTAAAGTTCAGCATGTTTTGGCCACTTCAGTAGAAAAAAAAGTGCTGATTGGTACAGGCATGGGTATGGGTGTGTGTATTATTTGTAAATATCTACAGAGTGGGTGAAAAACCTGGAAGAATTCCAAGTGGTGTAAATTTCTAGAAATGCTACCGATAATCTGACCTAAATGCTGACACCTTTCTGACAATTTTCTGACTTTTTTTCTACAGGTTGTAGGAAGTGTTCTGTATTTTACCAATTTTTGTCTTGATAAACTGGGACAGCCTATATTAAATGAGAATCCACAGCTGACAGAAGGATGGGAAATACCTAAGTATCCTGTTTGCTAAAACAAGGGTCTTTATCTGGTTACCAAATCCAAAGAGTGCCAGTTTGGTAAATTGAGCTCAGATTCATTTCAGAAGACTGTGCATCACTATTAAAACCCTACCAGTTATTAAAGATGAAAAGTTTTAATGGGAAATTGGTGGATTTTGTTCTCAAAAGGTACAAGTGTTTGGGTGTGATTGGCTGACTGATTTTAAGAAGAGTGAATGCTGTGCTCCTGTAAATATATCTTGTGAATGCAGGGCTTTCCTGGGCCAGTCTGCAGTTAGGTTTGGAAAGAAAGTTCATTCCAGATACAGGCAAGTTGTTTCCCTCTGTGAAATCTGTAATATGGGAGAAGAAAAGGGCTCAGCAGACTCAAATACTCTCTGACATAATTTTTGCCAAATTTGGGATCTGGGAGAAAATCTTTTAATAAAATTCAATTATGTGATGTTCTTATCCTGCATCCATTCTAAAGTTGGTTCTATTATAATGTACTAAAGCCAGTATTTAGAAAGTGGCATTGAGGGAAACATTTGAGAAAATATTTTTTAATATGGGAGTCCTTGGTGACTAAAAGAAATTGAACAAGATACTTCTCTTTTTTTTCCCCTTCAAATAATCCCATCTCCCCAGTTTCCATACATTACTTTGGCAACAGAGAGTCGAGAGGAAAAACAGTTTCACAGTTCTTTTCTGCACTTTCTAGTTAACAGACTTGTCATAACAGTAACTCCCTAGTGTTAGAAAATGATTTGTATCTGAAAAGAAATTGTGAATCAAAAAGCCAGCTAATCTGGCTTTTCTTGTGGCTGCCATTGAACTGTGTATGCACTGTGCTGTAATTTTACATTTGGAAGCTGCCTGTTGTAATGTATCAAGTCAGTCCTCTCCAAATGACATTTGTAGAATCTCCCAACCTCCAGATAAAGAACCTGGATGCGTAACAGGAGAATTTCTCCTAAAATGTGAAGTTAACCCTGGCTAAGCTTTTATGTTTGTCAGCTTTGCCAGAGCAGAGGTATTACTGTTCAAAATTACCTCATCTTTAGAGCTCCTGTAGACACTGAGCCTAAAATAGCACTTAATAGTTAAGTGGTGTATGAAATACCATGGTTCTAAATGGCTGAAGTACCAATCAGTGTGTCAAACCAGTATCTGACATCTGCTTTTCTTTTTAAAAGCAACTGTTAGACTCTGGAAACTACTGTGCTTCTGAACTTTACCTCTTAAGTCTCTTCCATGCTGATTCACCTGTGGCCCTCTTCTCTTCTCATACTTTGCTAGACAAGTAGGCAGAACAGCTAATAATTTGCAGTCAAAAAGCAAACACAAGTACTATGATACGACCTGTCTACGTTTAGTGGAGATGTGAGTTACAGTTTTGAAATTCTACCAAAAAGTATTAAGATTGATATAAAATACGTCAGAATTAGTAACATGAAACTTCTGCCTATGAGCTTCAGTTTTAGCAAGTGCTTGTAAAGAACAAAATAGCTTATTGGATAGAAATTGGGTAGTAGAAAACAATACAAGCCCCTCTTAGCAAATATAGTGGATGTAGTTTTATAGTTTATAATTCTGAAGTGCAGACTTCATATTAAGCACCATCTGTATCAATGTATCTTCAATCCAGAAAAGTCAATATTTTATGCAAAGCCCTAGTAGGTTTTCATTGATATTTTAAACAAGATTGAAATTTTGCTTCATCCAGTAGCAGTTCCTTATTGAAATCTAAAGATATCAGCAAGTTTTCAGCCAGATTCTCTCCCTAGATGGACAAGAAATACAAGTAAAACCAAAAAGGTTTGTATTACTCTTAAATATAAAGTTTTGAGCTGCAAAGTTCAGATGTGTACTGTGATTATTCCCATATATACTAAACCTTTGAGTGTACTTGAGCACTGAGTTGAAGTAAACCAGCCTCTGCAGTCAGTGGATCTCTGTGGTTTGCTCATGTGTTTAGGAAGGGCCTATATTCAATGTGCAAAAGCTTTCTGACATTGTTTGTGCCCTGTTCTTCTGTGGCTTCTTTTTACTGATTGCTTTGTCATCCTTGCATTGGTGTACTACCATCATTCTTACTGTTTTCTGGAGCAATTTCCATATGGCTTACTTTATTATTAAGACAGATGATTTAAGAGTTGATGGTATAGCTTTTATGGGAGGTAAGAAGTAAAGTTAAATGAGTTTACACTTGAAAATCTGCGTGGTTTTCATAGCATCTGAAATCATTGATTTCATTGTAATGAATACCATCTCAGCTTTCATCAGGAATTACAGAATGAAGGGAAATAATGAATTAAACTATGTTTTGATTAGAAATGTTGCCATCTGAAGGGAAAGCCAGATTGAAGAGTCATTCTCATTGTACGGAGCGGTGATAAAATACTTGAATCACTACAAATGTTTGTGTTTAAATAATAGACAAAGGAGGAGCAAAACATGTGCTTTGTTTTATCTAATTAGAGAATTCAACAGGTTGGATTTAGAGCAGGGTGGGCAGATGTCATCTTGGACACTTATTCTTGTGTCACCCTTTTGTCTCTGCATGTTTCCCATCCTAATTTGATAAATCTTCAGAAGACAGTGTCTGAAGACTTGTTAGAGATGGGGACGTTCCCTCCTATAACCTTGAAAATGTGTGCCACGATGGGAATTTACAGGGAAAATTAAATTTGAAGGCAGTTGCAGTTCAGCATACAGTCTGTGTAAC